GCAAATGATTTTTGAATTGAATTTTTAGTACCATATCTTATCGAGATGAATCAACGTTTAGCTTGTTCTATATATCGAGGTACTCAAAAGTTGTGTCGAAACTCAAAATGAAGATTCGAGAATGTTAAAGGTCAAATGGATATAACTAAAGATCAAAAAGAGTGAAAAACAAATCAATTTTCCACGCACAAAGACGTTCAAATTTTTAGTTGGAAATTGAAATCCATTTTTGGCCTAGTAAACGTTCGAACTAGCAAAGTTATAGCCCTTTGAGTTATCTTTACAACGCATTTTAAATCGGCTTAATCGGATGTCGGAAACAAAAATTATGATAAAAATACTCAAGCAGCCTCAGCTTAACAGCCGAATTTTCAGCTGTTTGTGCTAATTATTTTTTTCGTAACAGTAGTTTTATTTGTTAACTAAAAGGGTAGTATTGTCTTTTAATACAAACATGTTTTGTAATTGTTGTGTTTGAGCAGATTTTGTAATTGTTTTAGTCACTTAAGGGTGTTTTTGTCTTTTTACAGCAAATGGGTCATTTTGGGATTATTATCAATTGTAAAAGTCAAAGTGAATTATGGGGCTTTGACTAGGTCATTTTTAAAAGAACCCCGAACAATGCGATGATGGGGGTGGCATTCCGCAAAAGGCCCATCGATTCAATAATTTGAGATTGTTCAATCGAACAATAAGCACATCCACCTCTCTGGCGAGTTTCTCGACAGCCTTCCGGTCATATCGAGGTACATGTTCCCGATCTTGGATACAATTTTAATTTTTCTCTATCCAATACCTAAATCGGATTCTCATGAATTCTCATCTATTTTTAGGAATTTATTGATTGAGTAAGAGTTAAATTAACTAATTTCTAGAAACTTGTGTTAAGTTTGGTGGATAATAATTTGAATCAATGTAATTATGGTGGATTGTAGGTGATTTGTGAGATTTTCGATCTCATAAAATGAGTCAAGTATTCGAAGGATACGTTTACGTATCCATTTTTCTGTACTTGGAGAAACCGTTAGAGCACATGACCTTCTTTGGAGGTGGGGAAGGTGGACGTATGCACTCCGAAAATCAAGTCAATCTACTTGTGAATATATGTTCAGGTGTGCGACGTGCTAAAGACGTGAACCACAAAAAGATATTCGAATTCGGGAGTAATATGAGAATAATGGCGAGAGTGCAATATTACTTGAGTGTGTAAAACTACATTACCTTCAAATGGTACTAAGTGAGAGCTTTTATAGTAGGAGGGGAAAAATGATAACCGTTGGATAAAGAGACGTGTTCTCATCTTAACTTAATGGCCGAATCGCCTTGTCATATGCTTCATTCTATCCATCCCAAGCGCATGTGCATTTAATTTTTTGACTATTAGTCACCCTATGGTCTAGGCCTTACATGTAAGGAGTTGATGTTGTAGAGTAATTGCTACAGATTGGTCACATCAATCAATCACAAAAGATCTTGTATGGAAGATCTCATGGGGAACGTGCCTAAAAAACCTAGAGGTTATTCACCTTGGATTAGGGTTGCAGTTCTTTTGATAAGGAGGAAGTCCCGAAGGCGAACCCCCCNGAAGGCGAACCCCCCCCACCTGTGCCGTAGGCCCCTCAGCCAGGTGGGTTGTAAATCGAGGGATATGCACGAGTGGCAGGGACTTGAGGGAGAGAGCCAACAGGACACGAACCCACTGAGTGGGGAATCGAACCTGCGAAGCCGGAGGATTTCTCCCCACGTCACCTCAAGCCTTACCAACTCGCCTATGCCCCTGGGGGCAAAAATAAGAAAATAAAAGGGTTGCAGTTCTTTGTATCACTTCGCTTCGCCCATGAAGGTTCGACTTATCATGGGGTCAGTTAGGCAAAGTGATGTGGAGTACGGGCCTAGATTCGCTTATTATGTGGCTGCCATATTCCTATATTCGGAATCAAGCGTCCCTGAATGAGTTAATGACTTCTTCAGGCTAGTTCTTTTCGAAGAAGATTAATAACTGGGTTCTGGTGGAAGGAAATGATTTCACATAGCTATTTCCCCTTCTTGATGCGTGCTTTGTAAAGTTTACTCTGGTAGCATATACATCATTAATAGCTTTACTCTGTTGGGCTGGATAAACTTTCATGCCGATATCAACCCAAAATGAGGAATTTGTTTTGTACTGGCATAAATTACCTAAAAAAATTTATGTTATAAGCATACTGCTCAAATATATTAACAAATTTATGAAGATCTATACCCTCCACATGATGTTAGTATTCCCTTGTTCTTGTGCTTTAGCTTTCTATCATCTATGTACTGCTTTTCCTACTTGATTTTTTACATTAGTGAAACAATGATTTATAAAAATTTATTATGTGGTTTCCACGCTTCAGTGGTCTTTATGTTCAGTGTACAGCCACTTCTTGAACAGCCAAGCGAGGCATACAGGGAGTATTCCGTTTTGAAACTACAAAAACATTATTAAAAGGGCGTTAATCCTCCGCAACCTTTTAGTGAACTGAAGTTATGAACAGTCTTATATTGTAGGGAGTATTCCAACTTGATATTTTCCTCATAAAATGACGTTATAATTTATGCCAAGAACTTGGTGAGGATCCATGAGAGTACGTTGATTTTCTAATTTAAATAATCATACTTCAATTTAAAGCTTTTAGATTCTTGAAAATGAAACAGATGGAATCTTCTCAGGCATATGTGTTTTTTTCACATTTCAGTTCTTGATCTGAGCTCTCTATGTATAATTCATTCTCATTTTTACTGATTTTGATTGGTGATGATCCTGTCTTCGGCAATTGCAGAACAGAAGAAACAAAAATTCTCTGAAATAAGAGGCGGATTGGAGGATGCTGAAGCACTGGTAAATTATTAATGAGCACATGCAAATTTCTATGTATTTATACAACTTTAGAGTAACAAACTGCTATGGCTAAATTTTTAAGATTCGTAAAATGGACCTTGAGGCTAGGAGTTTGCCTCCAAGTGTGAAGGCTGCCCTTCTTGCCAAGTTGAGAGAATATAAAACTGATCTCAACAATTTGAAAACTGAAGTGAAGAGAATCACATCTTCTAATGCCAATCAAGCTGCAAGGGATGATTTGTTGGAATTGGGAACTACACACATGGTACTTACATCCTCCATTTCCTCGTTCTATAGTGATTAATGGATTAAATTATTTTATTTTACTTTTTTTGACAAGTTGGCTAAAATTAGGACTTTCAAATACCTTGATGTGCTATTGGTTTCTTTAGAAGTGATTTTCTGTTTTGTCCTTGCTTCAGACAACACTGGAGGCTGCCACTATGGTACGGAAGCGTTCAGAAATTCTTGTAATAAGAATTATATTGGAATAATTTTGCTTTGTATTGATATATGATTGATTCATTAAAAAGTGTACAATACCCCTAATTTATAGGCCAAATTATCCATAATCCTATTAATAAAAGGAAATTAAAATAAGGAAACTAAATTCTAAAAGGAAATATACAAATCCTAATCTAAATAAAATTTTAATAAAAAAACCGTTACAATTAGAAAAGGAAATTAGAAAAAATAATTTAAAAAAGACAAACTCCTACATAAAGTAAAACTATCAAT